TGCTCTGAGGCTGGGGCGGGGAGGAGGCGGAGGACCTCTGGCAGCCCGTTACACCTCTGCCCCGTCTACGCCGCACTCCCTGGCCGCTGCTACCAGCCCTGCGTTGCTGGGCTCCCGGGAGCGGCCCCCGGCAGAGCCCCCCCGCCAGCAGCGACCGCAGAGCTCGGCTCTACCTGTCGAGAGCCAGGGAGATTTGCAGTTTGCCGTCGGAGACCGATGGGATGATGCTCAGAACGATGTCCTGAAATTGGAACAACGGGAGAAATGGGGTTATTTCCCTGCATAGCTCCCAAGACTGAAGAGAAAACCCAGAGAATCTGTAAATAACCCATTCCGGAAAACAACACCTGTCTGTGCCTAGAAATCGCGTTTCGTTGACTGATGGCATCGTTTATCTCGCTCCCCAGGGCTCACCCTTCCTGTCTTTATTTTGAGCCGTTCCTGAAATACTTCACTTGCGTTTGGTTATGGGCAGTTTAACAGGGCTGAGCACCACTGCTCTGAAGATGTAGTAAATTCCAAAGTGCAAGTACTACACGGCTGAGGGCAGGACAAGCCGAGGGGATGCCGGAGAACAGCCACACTCACCCCTCGCCCGGTTTCGGAGATCTCGTCACCCGGGAGCACACTCACCATGTCGATGGAGAAGAGCAGCTGCTGCGAGGACTGCAGGAGGGGGCTGAAGACGTTGATGGAGGCTTGGAGGGGGGGGGGGGGCCTTCCCCCCCCCGCTCCCAACACATCACACCCGGACGCGCAGCTCCAGCGGCAGAGAGCCGGGGAGGACCTGGGCGAGCTGCAGGGGCAGGGGGAGGTCAGGGCAAGGGGTCTCTGCGTGGCCGGGGCGAGCGGTGGGGTCAGAAATCAATGCAGAGGAGGGAGGTGGCTGACCTGGGGGATGGCTGGCAGAAGGGCAGAGGTGGACAGCACGATGCTATCGGGCACCTGCGGGAACAGCAGAAGCAGTGTCGGTGGCCGGGAGAGCTGGTGCAAAGCCCACGCTGGGCTCAGCTGCACCCCGCGAACAGATGCAAGCACATGGCAGTGAGCACCCTCGGGTCACCCAGGAGCGACCAGGACCCCGACCCAGCCTTGGCGAGGTGACCCACCATGGAGCTGGTGATGCTGAGGTTGAAGGCTCCCTGCCCCCGGGCCGTCTCCAGCCGGACGCCGAGGGCACGTGGGGAGAGGCTGAGCTGCGGCGGGCGGCCAGCGGCCAGCAGCAGG